CTAGAATTCTCCAAGGGAGCCAAGCTTTGAAGAATGGGATAGCTTATGTTATTTTGGGAAAACAGCAACTGAACATTACACTTTGAAGTCCTAGATCCCAATTAAAGGCAGGCTATTAACTGATTCTTAGCTTCACCTATAGCCTCAGCCCCACCCCAGTGTAACAAGGTCACAGAGCTTTATTTGGCAAACCTAGCAGAGATATCCAAAGCTGCATCATTATTACTCTTGTAGCACTCAGACTCTGAATAGGTGTGGGCTATGGAAAAATCTGTAATATCAAGTTCATTCTTTAAATACATGCAAGTGTTCAGGTCTGAATCTATTACCTTGAAATAGCAGTGAAATCACTCAAAAACTGTAAATGTAAAGTGCTGTATCACTCAGCCCTTAAGACATGTTGAGTCCGGATGTCCCCATGAGGTAGAAGGCTCAGAGCAACTGTATTGGATTGTATTTAAACAGATAAGTCTGGTGGTAAAGCCAGAATAGACAAACATGATCTGTGTTGACGCAAGGAAAAATACTTTGTTGACATGCACATAACTGAATAGATGCCTATTAAAACAAAGTGAGGTGGGACAGAAGCATTTCACAAAGCTAGGTAACTATCATAAACCAGTGAACTTTCATCTGCAGGTCTCCTGCTGAGTAACAGGAATGTCAACAAACTGGCATCTGTGTCAATTTTTAAAGCCTCCTGCAAAGTTCCTTAGCAAACACCGATTTTTTTTCCTCCAAGCTTCCATTGAACTGAAACTAAAGCCTTCTTTGTTCCACTATACCATTAGTATGACTCTGTCCATCCTGAAGTAGTCAATTACTATAAAGCCTAAAGGAAAAGTTCACATAGGTGAACAAGAGGTCATAAGCACTTCAGTGGCAATGAAGTGGATCTTTTCTTAAAATGTATGTTCTGATTTTTAAAGAGATACTAAAATGTACATCTGGCTACTACCAGATGCCAAAAAATATCCGTGACTTGGCCCTCAAATTACTTAGTAGTGTCCTGCTTGCAGTGTGATTTAGGACAAAGATAAAATTATTAAAAAAACAACACAGCAACAAAACCAAACTAAAACCAACCAACCAAACAAGAAAAACCAAAAACAACAAACACAGAACAGTGGGCAGAAATATTCAGCTTAAAGAAAAACAAAAAAAAGCAGTTGGAAGTGGTAAATACAATACTGAGCTGTGTGTTCCTTGGATCCAGAGCCAGGCATGTTAACACTGATGAACTTTGCAGCAGTACTAACTCTCACTATAAAAGGTGTGGCCTTGTCCCACAGAATAGCTCTTTGGTATCTCCTGGAAACACAGGGGGCAAAAAAACCCCAAACATGCCCCACCCCCTCCCAACCCCCCACCCGCTCTGTTGGCATGCAAGTGGCAGAGAACCCAAGAGACCAGAAGACTGAAATGGCCCCCAAGATGCAATATTCCACTTGTATTGCCACATGCAGTGGGCCAGTCCTACCAAGTGAGAAGTCAAAACATATTTACCACTTTCATCATTACTTCAGCGACCACCCACTTCAACTAGCTTTCACTGTATGGATGTTTCCTTGGAGATCACAACCCCATCACTTATGGCAGTTCACCAAGGAGAGGAGAGTCCAGAGGGTAGCTTACAGCCCACACTACCAAGAGCCTTAGAAGAGCCACCAAATGAACTCTCAGGTTTTTTGATCAGTCTTGAAATAAAAGGGGAATGTGGAAGACTGAAGGATATGCTAGTATTCTACCAGTATTTTAAAAGGTTGAAATAGGATAAGACATGTCAGTCTTGTCAGCCTGACATTGATTCCAGACAAAATAATGAAAAAGCTGATATAAGACTCAGTTAATAAAGGATTAAAGGAGGACAGTGTAATTACTGCCAATCAACATAGACTTTGCAGGAAAATATAACCTGTCAAACTACCAACACTTTTTGGTGTGATTACAAGTTTGAATGCTAAAGGTAACAATGTTGATGCAATATATTTTCACGTGGTGTTTTATTTGGTGCCAGAAAGCACAGTGATGCAGCATATCGTATCAGCTGATGGGTCTAAACTGCACCAGTAGATAAGGAGTCAGGTAGGAAGGGGCTACTGGGACTCATGGTTGTTCCAGTGCTACATGCAAGTTAGGCTGCTGGCATGGAGATATCTCTGTCTGACACGTTGACTAGTATCGCTTCATTCTCCCCCTGAACTCCCACCTACTCTACCCATCTGTTGCCACCTCTCCTATACTTTGCCTGGAAGTGCCTTGGCACAGGGATGGCCACCAGTCCCTGACTAGTACAAAGGACTCTCTAATCCTGACCTAAGCCCTGCCTGGCATGTCAGTCATTCTGCCAAACCTACTGTGTTGCTGTACTAGCTCATCTGCTTAGATAACCTGTAATTTTTAGTGGTTCATTATACCAGGCTGCTCTAAAAATTTATTCACAAGGCAATCTTCCCTAGCATGGGGCTACTGTCTGTAACAGTTGCATAATAACAATAGTTAAACAACAGAAAGCTACTCATACAAAGCAGAGCGCTGAAAGTAAATGTGGACAGAACCTGACAGCAAGAGCTTTGACATTAAGAAATTTAGTCAGCACACCAAAGTAAACCACACACCCGTAAGATCTCTGCCTGCTGCTTTGATTTCCTCCCCACATACAGCAGTAACTGGGACAGGAGCAGAGGTGTAATTGGGTGTATCTTCCCAAACAGCTCACTCTCATACTTGACCACAGAAGCCTATTGTCAATTTTTAGAACACTGTCAGGTTAGAAATACAGGGGTTTTCTGGGATCTGTTCTCAAATGCTGTAGAGGTTACATAAGAAATACATTTGGCATTTATGCATTTAAACATAATGAAAAAATGACAGTCTGGATACATGGTAGGATGAAGCAATTTAAGGCACTCAAGCTTAGATTAGCCTGTGTTAACAGGACAATAGAGGATTGATTTTCCCCTCAGCCAAGGCTGGCAACCTTACTCGTAACTACCAGACCAGGGTTAAAGTACTTTTGAGCTTGAGTAGAGGTTTTTCACTATGATAGTGAAGAAAGAACTACCACAAGCTTTGGCACAGGCTAACTAAAAAGGAAAGCATACTATCAGCACTGCAACTTTGAATGTCTCTGAAATATAATATTGAAAATGACAATGCTGCTGACCAACATAATAAACACAAGAAATTCTCTGACTATTCCACAATTGCAACCTCATGTTCTAGTTCTCATCTTTCATGCCTCCACCTAATATTTACAAACTTCAAGTCTCCTGGTTTCTGCAACACATTAACATGTTTTTGAGCACAAATGTAAAAAACCATTTTGATAGCTGAAAGCATAGGTACAGACTAAAATAAACAGAATAATAAAACAACATATCACAAGCATCTGCTGCATTAGGAGAATTAATTTTATATTTAAGTCAGTAAAAGCCTTTACTGTGGAGTCCCAGCCATTCCACTGTGAGGTTCCATGAACCTGTAGGACTCAACAAACCTTGCCTTAAGTAAGCTCAGCACAACAACATACAGAAAAGAATGATCTTGTTTTTTGAAAGACCCATTATTATAATTTCTGCCTTCTTTTGTTAATGTTGGCATGTACAAAACAAACAGCAAGCACGTGTATTTTGGGGCTCAAATACCCTAAAATGTGCAAGGAGAAAAAGCTAGGCTGTTTCCCAGCCACTAAGAAACAGGCAAACTGCAAGGAGGGCTGAAAGAGGGTTGAAGGCAGGTGTCTTCAGCAAAGCAGGGCCACAGAAGAGTTCTGCAGTGTTGCCTGGCAGCAAGTAATTATCTGCGAGTGTGCTGTTTCCACGTGCCAACAGCCAAAGCCCACACAGGCAGCAAGCACGGGAAAGTACGTGCGTCAG